GCGAGGTTCAGTGCACTTCAGCTGCAGAGATGGCACTGCTGCTGTTGGTGTGGGGGGGGGAGGGTCTGATCCTGGGGGCGGGGCCACTCAGGCCTGCCATCCACCAGAGTCTGGAGTTGTAGGGAGGAGAGACATGCCCAGCCCCAGAGAACTTGGCTCTGGCCGCCCACCCCCCCGCTGCACATGCATCAGCATGAAAATAGGTCCCCCCCTCCCCTGGCTGCCTGCCCACTGTTGCACACTATCAATATGCAAATAGGTCATTACGGACAAATTAGCATATTCTCTCTTTATTGTATAGGATAAGATTCTTTGGTTGCAAGTGGCAGAAAGTGAATTAGTTTGGTTGCAAGTGATCAAAACTATGGTTCCAGACAAAATACAGGAATGTCCAGTTATACTTAAATTTTGGACAAACAAGGAACAACTTTTTAGTGTATCCCAAATATTGCAATATTGGTCAGGAGTTATGTGATATTCAAGTGCACCTGGGCATGCTGTATTTTTATTTGAAAAATAAAAATCAAAACCCATTTTAAGCAAGCATAAGTATATATGTGAACTCTTGATTAAGAAAATCTATAAAAGGTTTAAACAAGTAAAGGGCAGAAAGGTCAAAGATGCAGCAAGTATAGGGTCAGCTAGAAGCAACAACATGAAAACCTTTAGTATTCTCTCCTCACTGTGCTTCATGTGTTGGCTTCAAAGTGTTTTACTGTAGACTTGCATTAGTGGCAAATGCTTGCATTTACTGAGATTTATATATAAAAAATTTGCCAGTGGAGAGAGAATGGTCTAATTTCTCCCTGCTCCCAGATGCGGAGATCTTAGAGAAGGGCTGAAGTTGGTTTAGACCTGGCAAGTGCCAACCTCTGGAGTAGTCAACTGTGGTCATTGCATAGGGTTTATATAAAAACATTGCACCTTGCACAGAAACTATATGAGTAGAGTAAGACTGAGAAGCAAAGAAAAGAAAGGATTTCTAAAAGAAAAAGCATGCTGCTCCCAGATTAAATGGAGTGTTTGCAGAAAATAGTAGGCAACAGACACAAACATATACTCCAAAATAAACATGTTCAAATGAAACATGGCTTTATCTGAAAGAACACATGGGGGTGGAGGGAGGGCATCCAGGCATTTCAGAAGGCCTTGAAAATCAATAGGAAGATTGTTCAGCCACACTCTCCTTATCCCCAGTTTGCTTTTTTTTCTTTCTATTTTAATTATTTACTGTCTGATGGCTGTTCTAAACATGTTTGGTCCAGGTAGTCATAGATAACTGGTAGTAAATGTTCTATAATTACAGGAGGCATAACTTAGAGACAGCTTGGCAGGGAATAGGGGGATATTTGAGAAAGTTCAGGAAGTAGGGTATAATTTTATGAGAAAAGGTATATATTACGTACTGATATTTTAAAACAAGAAATTATTACTACTTATTTTATTTATTTCCAAGCCCCAGGAGAAAGTATGTATTTTTATCTGATTATTTTCTTTCTTAAATTAACTGTACCCTTGGGATAACCATTCTTAGGGAAAACATGTAACTTAGTCATATTGATCCACAGCATTACAATGATCCATGGGTCACTGAACAATACAATCTGAGTGATTACATTCTGCAAATTCCATAAGGAGTTCCATACCAGTAAAATAACAGTTCCTTTTAAGCCAATTGCCCAAAGGCTTTACCTTAAAGAGAACATTTTAACTAAGATGCGTTTGTCATGTACACTTATAGAATACAAATTTGTAGCATGAACAGCTTGTCTCATTGACTTAATACTGACAAACATTCATTTTGAAATTTGAAGAGGCAGTGGTGGTAGTTACAAGGAAATGAGAAGCTTCAAAGCTTCACATTTTCTTGGCATGACCTCTACCACAGCATCTGTTCTTGTCTTTTTTTTATTCTTGAGTAATACTAGGAAGTTGCTAGACCAGATGAACTTCCTATGACCTGTTTAGTAGACCCAAACAATTAGCAAATGGTTATTCAATCACTCCTAAGAGTAGATTTATGCTAGACAAGGAGAATATCATGACCTTTTGATTTATTTTATATAACCATCCATATACACTTTTTCTTGCAGTGCCTGGCACATAGTGAAAGGAGAGGATGGTAGAAAGTAAGGCTTAGTATAAGAATTAGAGATGTGTTATTATTCGCCATTGTCCTGAGTTTCATTCACTAGACAGCTTGCATATCTGGACTTAGAAGTGCTGACCCTGCAGACTTCGTTTTCTTGATTCTTAGAAACAGTAAATATAAATGGTAGGTAAATCTTAGGAGTGGGTATGACCATCTAGAGATGTGTATATAGTTAGAAGAATAGAAGATGTTATCCTAGGTACGCCTGTATATAATGAGTGCATGATGAAAGATAGCCCATAAAAAAGGCTGATTCTTTTAGGTAGCAAAAATAACCAAGAGAAACCAGACTAGGAGAGAGTCACAGAACTGCCAGGAAGAGAAAATATCAAGGAGGAAGGAACCAAC